AATGGGTTTGGCTTTGGTTTTTGGTATAGGGATGTTAATCAGACCAGTGGTTACGGGGTTGGGCATAGAGAGGGGGGCAGCAGGGAATTTTTTGAAGTGAAGGAAATGTTCAGTATCTTGATTGTGGTGGCGATCAACCTATTGTATACATTTGTCAACAATTTTTAATACATGTAAATTAACATCAATAAACTTGACTTAAAAAAATTAGGGCATTGTACAGTACATTAACCATATGTCGATAAAGCTGTTAAAAAACAAAGGAAGCAGTAGTACATAATTCAGAGTTAGGGTGCATTGATAACTGATGTAAGACTCTGATGCAGAAATCCCTTTGGCCTTGCATCTTTTTTTTTTCCCCCAGGGGAATTTCCCTGACATTTCCAAGGGAAACTTTCCTCCCTAAAGATAACATGAAACCAAAAGTCTAGCATAATTCCAATAACTCGAAGGACAAAAACTGATGAAGACTATCAAAATGAGTCTCTGTATCATTTAATCTAGTCTTTTGGTTAAAATATCTAGAAATATAGATATGAAAAACCGTAAGAGACAAAATAGATACACACCATAAAACCCTAGTCATTCCAATCAAATGGAAGAAAATGAGAGCCTGAACATTGGAAAGTAATATTTCTAAATAAATCTACCAGACTTCTATTTCCAGCATCAAAGAGGATTACATATACAAAAACAAAATAAAACATACACAAAAACATCTCTGGCCTAAAAAGAAAGAAATAAAAAAAAGTTGTATAATTAAAAAAAAATCTTTTAAAATGTTTAACTGAGCTCAAAAGAAAGTAGCAATATGATCGCCAGTTAGTGGTAAAACAGGAAAAAAAGAAATTGAACCCTGGAAAGGAAGACAGGGAAGAAACTATCTTTTTTGGCCTTTGGAGGGGACTGAAGAGGTAATTTTCTTGATGATTTGTAATAACGTGGTCCCAGTAAAAAAAAATATATGGGCACACTCCTATTTCACACACACACACACACACACACACACAAATGTAGAGAAAAAGATACAGAATTACATATATTCAGGTGTTGATAGTGGTGAATTGTGTCTCCCCAAAAAGATATGCTGAAGTCCAAACCCCTGGTAGCTGTGAGTGGGACCTTATTTGGAAATAGGGTCTTTGCTGATGTAATCAAGGTAAGATGAGGTCCTACTGGAACAGGATGGGCTCTAAATCCACTGATGTGTCCTTACCAGGAGGGAGATTTAGACACAGAGAAGACAGAGGTAAGGACATGTGACAATGGAAGCAGAAATTAGAGTCATGCAGCCGCCAGCCAAGAAACGCCAAGGATTGCCAGCGACTGACAGAAGCTGGGAAGAGGCAGCAAGGGACAGATCTTCTCTGGAGTCTTCATGGGGAACACGACCCTGCTGACACCTTCAGTTGGAACTTCTAGCCTCCAGAACTGTGAGAAAATAAATTTCTGATGTTTTAAACGACCCAGTTTGTGGTAATTTGTGACAGCAGCCCCAGGAAACTAATACAAGTGGTGATAGCTCCAGTCGCTGGATAATGGTTTTTCCTCTAATGTTCTACAGTGTACAAGCATGGCATCTAAAATAATACAAAGTTATTTAAAATAAATTCAACTAAAAGCGCCCCTGGGTTGGTTGTACAAAAGAAACAAATCATCTCTGAAGGATATAAATACATTCTTGGGTCAGACCCCAAGGAATTCCCACAGATAAAACTGCAAAAAAGAAAACAACAACAACCAAGAAAAAGGTCTCACAATGAAAACAAACACACCCTCCACCACTGCACCGCTGCTGCCACCACAAGAGCAAGCAGACACAAAGAAAAGATTCCAGTCGCCACAGATTTTGGAATTCCCAGATATAAAATCTAAAATAAAAACTGTTTAAGACTTCTGAAGAAATAAAGGAAGGAATTAAATGAATGATTAATAAAGAAAATGAAAAGGTAGATGAAAAAACAGCCAAACAGAACTTCTAGAAATGAAAGATATAATTGCCGAGAGTCAATCAATCAATCAGTCAATGGGTTAAATCAATGGGTTAAGCTCAATCAATGGGTTACAACAGAACATTTAATATAGACGAGGGGCAAATTATTTGTACACTAGAGAGATAGTCCTAAAACAAAACAAAACAAAACCCACTCAGAATGCATGGTCACCTAAGATACAACTATTGGTCTCTTCCCATTTGCAGCAAAGGAGAATGAAGAAAACCAAAGACACAAGAAAGCAATTAGTCCAAAGGACTAATGGCCCACATGAACCACAGCCTCCACTAGCCTGAGACCAGAACTAGAGAGTGCCCGGCTACCACTATCAACCGCTGTGACCAGGAACACAATAGAAGGTCCTGGTTAGAGTGGGAGAAAAATGTAGAACTAAATTCGAATTCATAAAGAAGACGAGACTTACTGGTCTGACAGAGACCAGAAGAACTATCAAGACTACAGACCTTAGACACTGTTCTAAAGTTGAACTGAAGCCACTCCCACAGATCACCTATAAGCCAAATAATATACAGGCCTATACAATAAACAGTAACACTCATGAGGAATAGGCTTCTTAGAACAATTAACTATACAAGACAAAAAGCAAAGATTAGGAGGCAGGAAGGGCAGGGGAACCAGACAAATGGAAACAGAGAACCTAGGGTGGAAATGGGGAGAGTCCTGATACATTGCATGAATTGCAACCAAGGTCACAGAACAGTTTGTGTATGAATTACTGAATGGGAAACTAATTTACTATGCAAACTTTCACCTAAAGCCCAACAAAATGTAAAAAAAAAAAAAAAAATTCAGAATGCAACACAGAGATTGATAGTATAAAAGAAAGTTTAATAAATTGGAAATAATAACATTTAATAATAATAGAAATATCGGAAGGATATCAGATTAATAGGATAGGAAAGAGAAAATATTAGAAGAGGCAATATTAAAAGCAGCCAAAAGAGAAAAAAGACCACTAAATTAAACCAAAAAAAAAAAAACAAACCCCTTGCCATCGAGTCAATTCCAACTCTTAGGAACCCTACAGGACAGAGTAGAACTGCTCCATAGGATTTCCAAGGAGCGCCTGGTGGATTCGAACTGCTGACTTTTTGGTTAGCAGCCACAGCACTTAACCACTGCGCCACCAGGGTTTCCACTAAATTGAATAGTAAAAAAATTAGACTGATAGCTGACTTCTCCAGAACAAAAAGAAATCCAGAGATAGATGCATAAAATCTTCAAAGCACTGAGAGACAAATAATTATTAACCAAGAAATGCATATCCATCAAAATTATCTTTCAAGAACAGGAGTGATATAAAGGCATTTTCTGACAAATAAATATTGAAAAACTTTACTCTCAACAAATCCTCTCTAAATGTTTACAGAATGTACTTCCAGAAGAAAGAAAATGATACCAAAGAAACATCTGAGATACAAGAGAAAATCATGAGTGGGATGGGGAAAGGAAAACTTGTAGCTTTATCTAAAGAAACACTGATTTTATTGACAGTACTTTTCATATTTAATTTATAGGGTTAACAAAACGAGAACTATAATACAAACTTTTAAGTCATAAGGAAGAATAAGAATGATCACAGTTAAAGCATTCTAAAGTCAAAGTACTAGTCCATAAACTGGTGAAGATATTGATAAATTTTGGCCTTTGCTATGTTAAATATGGAGCCCTGGTGGCGCAGCGATTAACAGCTCGGCTGCTAACCAAAGGGTCAGCAGTTCAAATCCACCAGCCACTCCCTGGAAAGCCTATGGGGCAGTTCTACCAAAGGTGTAATTTCTAGAGTGGCCTCTAAATAAACAGAAATAAATTTAAACTAGCAGACAAAAAGGGTTTCCAAACCCAGCAAAGAGGCACTATATAACTATAACTTATAAATGCTTTAATTCTCCAAAAAGACTTAACAATTTCTAAACTCATTTGCACCCAATAACATAGCTTCAAAGTATATAAGGGAAAACCTGACAAATCTATCATGATAATGGGAGGTTTCAACCCATCTTTCCCAATAACTGATAGCTCAATAACAAAATTAATAAGGATGCCAAAGATTTGAACAATACAATTAACAAATAAGCGTGCTCTAACTCTGCACCCAAACAATTGGAGAATGCATGTTTTCCAAGCATACATGCAACTTTAATGAAAACTGACAATATACTAGGCCAGGAGAAGTAATTATTAACAAATATCAAAGAAGCAGTATCATACAGACCATATTATTTGATCAAGAATCAAAAACAAAAAGATCCTTTGAAAAACATCACCTATTTAGAAATTTGAAAGCATACTTCTAAATAATTCATAAGTGAAATAAGAAATCATAGCAGAAATTAGAAAATACTTAAACATTTAAAAAATATAACATGCCAAAATTTGTACAATAGAGCTACAGTGATCCTTAGAGGTAAACTAATAGCCTTAAAAATACTCATATTTAAAAATTAAAACATACATTCACTTTAAGCTAAAAAAAAAACTTAACAGAAAGTACACCCTTCAAAGGCATAATTCAATAGGTTAATTTAACAAAGTGCAAGTCTCATGAGATGGGCAACTGATTTTAAAAAAGATAAAATACAAGAATGCTTGCTTGTATCTTTAATATCTCGTAAGAAATAACCTACTATATTTATCACTCTATCTCAGCAAACGGACCAGTTGTTGTCGTGTGCCATCAAGTCTATTCCAACTCGTGGCAACCCTCGAGGACAGAGCAGAACTGCCCCAGAGGGTTTCCAAGGCTGTAATCTTTATGGCAGCAGATTGCCACATCTCTTTCCCGCAGAGCGGCTGGTGGGTTCGAACCACCGATCTTTTGGTTAGCAGCCAAGTGCTTAACCACTGCGCCACCAGGGCTCCTTAATGGACCAGTACCTGGCACATAATAAGCATTTAATATTTGTTAGATGATTGATACTAAATAACACAAAAAACGTGAATAAGCAGTTGTTAAAATACTAAATTGAAAAACAAACTACTTACCTGGTAATAAAGTTTTATCTGTCTCACCAAAATGGACAGATTATGAATTCTAAGTGAGGCATCATTGTTGACTTTTTTATTTACTCTCTGACTCTCCAATTTAGGATTACTGTAAAAAATAAATAAAAAATTTAAACTAAAATTACACTGAAAAATATTAACATATTCAAAGTTAGACAATGAAAATTAATCATATTAATACTTTTTTCTTTAAACAGGTTGTGTACTCATCTTCACAAACAGAGATGATCTCAAAGGACAGATGATTACTTTGACGTGTATTCTGTGCCTCTGGTTAATATAGACACATCTGATATTCCTAATGAATCAACTGCTGTGGAGCTGACACTGATTCATGGTGATCCCATGTATGTCAGAGTACTGTGCTCCACAGGGTTTCCAATAGCTGAGTTTTTGGAAGTAGACTGCTAGGCCTTTTTCCCAAGGTGCCCCTGGCTGGACTCAAAACTTCAACCTTTTGGTTAAGAGCTGAGTGTGTTAACCGTTTGCATCACCCAGGGACTTTAAGGCAGCGACAAAATAAATGTGAAATTTAAGTCACATGTTCTCATTTTGTTTTTCCATATTCCAGGGATGAATCACCTCATTTCTTTTAAATATATATTTTCATCACCAAAATAAATCCATTTAAATCAAGAATTTAAAATAAGAACTAATAATCAATATATGTTATTTCTCTGTACTGGGTAGTGGGGACTATATTTGAGCAGGGAATATCCCAGGGGAACTGAAGAAAGAATGAGACAGGTGACACAGGTTAGTATTTTCTTCTTGGGTACACTTTGTTGACTGAATGAAAGCAAAAGGCTAAGTGATTCTAAGGCAGCATAAACTGAAGAAGACAGACAGTCAAGCTGTCACTAACACTAGGAAGTTCAAGTAAAAGTGGTGGTACCAGAACAGAAGGGTAAGTTGAGGCCAGAACACAAGGAGGTATGAGCTACTTCCTCATCAGGGCAAACAGGCCAGGCTAGAGAAAGACACTGCCAAGTGAAACGGCAGACAGTAAACCAGGACGCCCCAGGTGTGCGTATTACTGCTGAGGCACCGCTGTTCCCAGGCCCTCTCGGTGAGCAGATACAAGGAAATACACATACATATGGAAACCCATGAGTTCACATCAATACCTCTAACTCCAATCCAACCAGTGTGCATTCTAGTTTTCTTCCTTCCCAAATTTGGAATTCCTTTCTCTGATGTGAGAAATCTTGTTCCCATTATCCCTAATGCATTTACTTAACTTTATTAACCCCCTGTGCGTAACCAGTCTAATAACACTGGTACGCCCTCACCAATCTCTCACCCCACATGAAAGCCATCCTCACCCATCTCAACACCTCACACCAGGCCATCCCTACATTCCCCTCACCCCATTCACACTCTGACTTCCCACACTGGACCTCCCCTCCTCCATGGCATCCTCTGCACCTGGCTCGGATTCTGACATCCCACACCTGGCTGCCCCGGACTCTGCAAGGATGCCGTCCTCAACCCCGCCTCTACTCCCATCGGACTCTTCTCCTTTAATACATTAATGCAGTAAACTACACTGTTACATTAAATACTGGATCTATTCACTCCGTGGGCCCTACCACATGACAAACAACTACTATTTCCTCTTTTTGTACATAAATTCTATCATAGTCCTTTTTTTAATTGATTTTTCTATTGTTTCCCATACAAAAATTTATACAGACATTTAGTCTCTTGTATCTACTTGAGCTAAGAAGCACACTCCTCATGGGTATCACTTTACATCCCACAGTCCAGTCCGATCCCTGTCTGAAGAATTGGCCTCAGAAACTGTTTTAGTTCTGGGCTGATAGAGAATCCAGGGGCCATGCTTTCTGGGGTTCCTCCAGTCTCAGTCAGACCATTAAGTCTGGTCTTCTTACTAGAATTTGAGTTCTGCACCCCACCTTTCTCC